GATTAAAATGCTGGTATACCGCCATGACAGTGTGGCAGTGTTGCCATATACCACAGATAGATACATAGATAAATAAAGAGATTTTTTTTTTGAGAAAAATATTAGTAGATTTTTGTTAATTTACTAATATGTCCTTTAACCATTCCAGCTAGGATATGGTTCACAATAGTCGAATGGCGGGATTCGAACCCTTGACCTCAAGATCGGTGTCCGTACCCGAAACCATTAGGCTATTGGCGCTTAAGAGATAAGTATAGACGTAAAATAACGAAAGATAAATTAACGTTATTTCTAAACATACTTTTACGTAAAAGAAATAAATATACCGTAATATAGTATTTCTTTCAAGCATCTAATACATACAAATCAACTATGTACTCGAAAAACAAATTAAATTGTACATTTTTAAGTTATCAGTAACCTTAACCTGAACCACTTCTATAATTACGGTAAACTCGCAGCGCTCGTTACAACTGTGCTTGAATTTACGTTAAAACGATAAAATGCATTTCAAAATTACTACTACACTTTATAACTAAAATTGGCTTCACATTTTCAACATTTTCCAACGTTTTTATGAAGTGCTTAATTTAGTAAAGAAAGTAGGATTCAATACCTATCAAAGAAAAAATTTGAAAAACTTTATATTTCTCTTATTATTAACGAAATTAAAATGATTCTGATGTATCTTGAAAACACCACTCATTCTAACAGCCAAATACTGAAACGAAACTTAAACGCTTCGTATCTTTCCGCATACAATCTAATAAATGTATTTGTAAGGAATTCGTAATTTAACCGTAACCTTATATGGTTGTTCGGAAAGTAATTTCGTTTTTTCCCGTCAGAGGACTTAATTACGTTTTTTCGAAACCAACTTCACACTTAAGCCGCATAACCATTATATGTCTTGAGAGCTGATATTGCAAGGCTTGTGTGTGAAAAAGTTCTATTAATTCTACACAGTAGTTTTTGGTTGGTGCCCTTTTCGTCATATTTTACTTTTTTACTTCAGAAGAGGTAAAAATGCTGTCCAAGCGAGAAAAAAATTGCATTGAAGATGCACCACGGTCTGGAAGGCCGGTCGATGCAAATCGGCGAATAACCACACGAGAGATCAAATTTGTCTAATTCGACTGTTTATGGCCATGTCTTTATGTTATGTTAATAAATTGTCTTTCATGTTTCCCAAAAAAAACGAAACGACTTTCCGAACAACCTATTAATTTAGGAGCGATAACGAAAATAACGTTATAGTATTTTGCCGTATAGCTAAAGCTGTAGTAGAAACTTATCGATCCATAACATAGCAGTATTTCAAAAGAAATTAAAAATGAGTCACCATAAATATTCCAATGCTAAACTTAGTTACCTATGTTGTGCCGCAACAAGGTCTTTCTTGCCGTACGCGTCGTGTACAGGCGACATTATCCCCCCCACTATCGTCCCTAAACCCAAACTGTGTATGTAGTCTCGGGCTATTTCTGTAAAAAAACAATCCATAAATGTTACAAGTCTCATTTTTACTATCGAGAAACATCCATCAAATCCGTTGAAACATTCGAATTTATAAAGCCCGCTACAAACGTTTAGTTTATCTGAACGTTATCTGTCAGTTGTAAAACAGTCAGATCATTCAGATAAATCTTACATTATCATCATCAACAGCTATACATCCCCACCGAGGGACTCGTAGCCTACCCTAAGTAAGGGTAAATAGACCATAGTCAACCATGCTGCACTGCGGGTTGACTTCACACATATCTTTGAATTTCTTCGCAAATATGTGCATATCACAATGTTTTCCTTCACCGTAAGAACGTCGGGGAAATTATATACATATAAAAAATCGAAAAATCGAAAATCACATTGGTACATGGCGGGATTCGAACCTAAGACCTAAGATTACAAGTCAAGTACTTAAACAAAGGGAAAATCAATACAGTTTTTATTTTTATTTTTATTTTTCAGTTTGAGATAATATGTTAAACTGGGTATAATGTGCACCTCCATACATATTAAAAATAATAAGGCCCTGTCCCACCACTGGCTGATAGAGGCTCAGATATCTTAAAAATGACATCACTGTCAAATAATGGTACAAAATTTGATTTCCATTACATATTTTACACATTGATATGTTATCAGACAAATTATAATTTGGTGGGACAGGACCTTAACCTCTTAAATAAACTATCGTCTGATAAAAGTTTGTATTGTGCAAGGTTTACATAATACTGCAGTATATGAAACAATGGGAACTATTGGCTTAATTATCTTTTCATCTTAATATAAACAATTACCATAAAGTAAATATTTTCTATGATAAAACACACAATGTTATCTAAAACAATTATTTATTTACTAGCTTTTGCTTGCAACTCCGTCTGCATGGAATAAAAAAAAAAGGTTAGTATGCATACCCTGTGTACCAATGTGTTCCAGACTATCTTCTAAGTATATACCAAATTTCATCAAGAACCGTTCAGGCGTTTTGGCTTTAAACCGGCAAACATTCATCCATCCATCTAAACTTTCACATTTATAATATTAATATGAAATATGATATCTGAATAAGACAAATCTTACTTATGATATAAACTATATTTATTCCTTAAGGTACACCAATTGCATGTTCAAAATTCACAACCAAAATAATTATATCATAGACAAAGAAAAACAGAACACACAGATGATAGGTGTACACACACTTACAATAGAAGATTTTTTTAAATATCAAACATTAACTAGGCCATCTTTGATGTTTCACACTAGTTAATGTATGTGGGGTTGTGGCTCGATCAAAATAAAATAAACTTTTAATTTATTGCTACTTTTAATATTTACACTTGTTTCCAAAACACATCTTTATACATTCCTCTTTTTTCTCCTGACTCTCAACTTAAAACTTACTTTTAGCTTTACCTAATTACTTAATTTTAGCTTTCTTGTATTATATGTGCAAAAGTGTTAAATAAATAAATAAATAAATAAATAAATTAAGTATTTAATGTCAGTTACAAGAATGAAAAAACTATGATCAAGTAATAAAAATTAATTTCAGTATAGGTTATAATTTTATATATTCAACAATTGTAATTTAGAAATTTTTGTGTTTAATCATATTCGTAATCCCTCTTTCCTTACGGTCGACAGAATTATCTGTGTTAGGTGAACAGCATATATTTAGTCATTTGAATTTTTTAAAACTTATATTTCTCCTATGCTATTTTTTATGTATTTAGCAATCTATACTAATAAATATGCAAAAAATAAAAGTGCACTAATTTACATTTGTAATAAAAATATAAAAAAAATACTCACCAAACATACGCAAATGCATATAAGTCGGCGGACTAAAGCTGCCGCAAGCCATCAACACCACCTTTCCGTGCGACATGCTGTTTAAACTTAAATCTTTCACAATGTTTTATTCTGTTTTCACTCTTCTATTATCACATAAAAAAATATTCTGCTAAACTAGACTGCGATCGATTCCTTCTATTTATTTTCAATGACAAACTAAAATGTCAAAAGTCAAACTGAATGTAAATGTGTGAGTGCAGTACCTATAGCTCTACAGCAACATTTTATGTTAACGTATTGATTTATGCTGAGTTCTTTTTTGTTGTATTGTTATAATGTTATACCGGATACCCTCTAAATAAAACGATTCAAGTAATAAAAGAAGACTGAGATGAAAAAGGATTATCAACCGCCCCAAAAATTCTGATTATAAGAAAAATAAAGTGAGAAGTAACGGATAGTTGTTTTAACATTGTGAAAAAACCGAAACATTCTAATCTCAAAACGAACATCTCTAGAAATGTCAAAATGACATAAGACAAGCAGTAAAACATCAAAGTTAAAATTGTCAGTCGTAGAAATACTTTTGAAATATCGAATTTGATTTAGTAATTACTTAAAACATGAAATAAAAGTAATAAATAGACACAATTTCATTATTGCAAAATATAGCGATAGTATTATTGAAGTGGCATAAGGGTTTTAAAAATGAGATTAACAACAAGATTGCTCTCGTCTGTAGCGCGAAAGAGACCTTTTTACGTTACCACACCAATTTTTTACGTAAATGCCGGTAAGTTAAAAGTTTTAATACATCCTATTAAGTTCCAAGTTGCCTGAGCAATATAATATAGACTTAGAATAACGCTGATATGGGGTTTTTACTAAATTTGATTACTATTTTCAGCACCTCATCTTGGACATTTGTATACAGCATTGGTAGCAGACGCAGTTCAGAGATTTGAAAAACTCACAAACCCTGATTGTAATATAATATTTAGTACTGGTGAGTTTTAATATTATATTTAATCTTACTAATAAAATGTAAGTTTAGATGGATGGATGTTTGTTACAGTTTATTGTCTAAATGGCTAAATGAATCATGATGAAATTTGTCATAGATGTAGACCATAGTTTAATTCCATGCAGACAGAGTTGCATGCAAAAAATATTCTATAATTTTCTACAATATGATTTCAGTTCCATTTAAAGATAAAAATGTTTCACAATATCACAATAAAATGTAGCAGTTATAAAAACCATTGGGATTGACACAAGTTTTAGCTGAAACATCTTTTAAAAACTATTAATTTACTATTTTAATATTTGTACACAGGTACAGATGAACATGGGACAAAGATCCAACAAGCCGCAGCCAAAGCCAACCTCTCTCCTTCCACATACTGTGACAAAATATCTCAAGAATACATAAATCTGTTCAGAGACTTCAATATTAATTATACCGATTTCATACGGACTACTGAAGATAGACATAAGAAGGCTGTGACACATTTTTGGGTATGTTTTCATGTAAACCAAAATCCACCCCATAACCCTGTAACTTGGTGGTAACAGAATCTTTTCTTGGCATGATTTTCTTGCCTCTTACATAAATACGTAATTGAGCGCAAAGTGTTTAATGACAATTTTAATACACTACCCTTTCTTCTATTAATTACCCTTCCATTCCTATGATTATCATACATAAATATACATAATCCCTAAAAGCACACACACACACATAGTCACATTTGAATTCACAACATACATTTAATTTGAGCGAACTTGAGCGTCAGTGGCTCAGCAGCTTAAGCACTTGACTTGTAATCTACAGGTCTTGAGTTTGAATCCCGCCATACCAATGTGATTTTTCGAATTTCATATGTACATAATTTACTTGACGTTCTTACGGTGAATGAAAACATTGTGATGCACATATAGGAGAAAAAATTCAAATATATGTGTGAAGTCAACCCGCAGTGCTGCATGGTTAACTATGGCCTAATCACCCTAACTTAGATTAGGCTCCAAGCCCTGAGTGGGGATGTATAGTGAACTTTATAGCTCTTTACACTTAGTTTTAGCACTATTAGCACTTACTATTAGCATAGTTTTAACAGAATTTCGTGATTATGATTAGAGAAAGTTCTAATGTGATGTTAAATAGAACTGTGCAAAGCCAGAACTATTGAGATTTTTTTATTGCATCTACATTCAAGACAGTAATTAGAGATTATTAAAAAAATAATACAGTAGAACCTCAATTACTCAGACCTCGGTAATTTAAAAACCTCTATAACTTCAGCAAATTAATGTTCCCTTCCCATCAGAGCTCAAAACCTCTACAACATAGACTCTTGATAACTTAAAACCTCTATAACTTAAAGTATTTCTTGTTTCCCTTGGAAATTAACTTATCAAGGTTCTACTGTGTTAAAAAACAAGCGAATATTAATTAATTTTAAATAATTATTTACAGAAGGAACTTGTAAAACGAGATTACATTTACAAAGCAAAATACTCCGGCTGGTACAGTGTCAATGATGAGGCGTTTGTACCTGAGACACATTTACGTGAGGATATTGTGGACGGAGAAAAGGTTAGTTTATTATTTACTAGCTGTTGCTTGTGACTTTGGCTTGTATATACTGAGAATGTAGCTTTTTAATGGTGAAATAATATTTGAAATCGGATCATTCGTCTTTGAGTTACCACACATACAAAAATGCAAAACTTTCTGCTTTATTTTAAGTTGATAATTACTAGCATTTAAATTAAAGCGTTTTTAAAACACTGAGAGTGTAAAATCTTAGTTATTTATCTATACTTCTATACTATTATAATAAAGCGTAAACACACACTTTGTTGCCTAAGATGTCAGCATTTACAACATATTTTTGAATAATCCCTTTTTTAATAAAAAGTTTTACACTTGCGTCAGGCTTTAGGCTACATATTTTAACGCTATTAAACTTAGGGGGTAAATAATTTGGATAAAAACCCTAATGTGGGAAAGAGACCACAAGTTGCTGCCAACATCAAGGAAGCAAGGTTGTCATCATTAGATGTTTTTTTTTTCATCTTAAAAAACTGTAACATTTGACAATTAATAATAATAATCTTTTGTAATCTTTAATGTATCTTTTATACTTTAGTAATATAATTTAAGGTAAAAGTGTCAATAGAGTCTGGGCACAGTGTGGAGTGGACAGAAGAAACAAACTATATGTTCAGACTGAGTGCATTCAAAACACATCTGCAAGATTGGCTTAAAACAGGTAAGAATATATTATATATAATAAAAAAAACGCTATGTACTTTGTAAAGCTTTGATTTTCGGAATACATTAAGTTACATATTTTTATAATTTTTTTTACAAGAAGGATGTTAGTTATGAATGTGGAGGGGTACAGTGGTAGAGGTAGATCTAGAAAGAGATGGATGGATTGCGTGAAAGGTGACATGATCAAGAAGGGAGTGATGACTGAGATGACGTATGATAGAGTTATGTGGAGGACAAAAAACTGTTGCGCCACTACGGGAGTAGGATAAGGAGATGATGATGATGATGATTTTATTTTTTAAAATTTATAAATTTAATTATTAAGAGATTGGAAATGAAATTTGATTTTGTAAACTTTCGCATTTATTACTAAAATAGTTCATGTTTTCAATTCTACTATTAAAAGACTAAAGAAAAAAAAATACTTGTACAAATATAAGAAGTCAATTTTTTTTCTGACAATTTTATAAACAATCTAATTGTAATCTTTTATATTTTTTATTTTTTAGCCACTAAATGTATTATTATTCCCTAATGGGGAAGGTTTTGGCTCCTGCGACTGGGGAACCTATTGCAAGAGCCAAGGCTCTCGTAAAATATAATTTAATTACTGTAAAATAATAATGTTTTTATTTATTTGAATTTTCAGACGGAGTAGTAACTCCTAGCAGGTTTCAGAAGCAATTATTGGATTATTTAGACAAGGAAACTTATTTTCCGGATATTTCAGTCAGCAGACCTTCTTCCAGAGTGCACTGGGCTATTAGAGTAAGTTGGGATAATTGAAAACACATTGTTTAACGAAAAAAAAATGATTGTTTTTGTCAAAATTTGTTTATTTGTTTAAGCTACAGGTTACAAAGTAATTTAAATACAAAACTATATACAGGGTGATTTTTAATTAAAGAATTAATTTTTTTTACCGGTGTCAGTAGCTATTATTTTAGATTTTAGTAGCGAAAGTTTGGATGGATGGATGTTAATTTGTAGCCTAAACTACTGAATGGATTTTGATGCAATTTTACATAGCCTTGAAAAATACATAGATTACTTAATTTTACTTCTTTAACAAATTTAAGAAGAGAAAATACAACAAAAACTCCCAAAAAATATTACCTCAAATCGGATATTGCAGCAATTTTTTCTGCAGGCGTTATCCATACAAATCCAGATGTAAAATGTTCATCAGGTGCCAGGTGATGATGATCAGAGTATCTACGTGTGGCTGGACGCCCTCATCAACTACCTCTCCGTGATAGGGTACCCTGACGAGGAGGTGATGAGGAGGAGCGGCAGACCCTGGCCTGCTGATGTGCAGGTCGTCGGCAAAGATATACTTAAGTCAGTTTGTATATGCGAAAGTTTGGATGGATGTTTGTTAGAGTTTGTAGCCTAAACGGCTGCACGGATTTCAATGAAATTTAGTTTAAATGTAGAGGATAGTCTGGAAGATAACATAGGCTACTTGCTTTTGTTTTATTTAATACCTCGTGAACGGATTCGCGGACGGAAACTAGTAAGATAATACAGCATAAATACACACTACTTTGTGGCGTAGGATGTCAGCAATCACAGTATTTTTTTTATAATTATTGCTTTAATAAAAAGCCTTACACTTACGAGACGCTTTATATTATCACGTTATAAATCTTAGGGAGTAAATGATTTAGAGAAAACCGTTATGCGGGAAAGGACCAAAAACTACAAGCTGACAACATTAAATCAGCAAGATTACTGCTATTGGTAAATACAATAGCAAAAGCTTTCGTTATCATTTGTGTATTTTTTTATATTTGCTGAATTTTTTCAAATGCATATTTAGATAATAAAATATTTTTTACAATAATAAGTATTATTTCATTTGATTTTTGTATGTATTGAAATAACTTAATAAGTACTAGGCTGATTTCATAAATTATTTCATCATTAAAGCTACGTTACCAGTGAGTAACATAGGCTATATATTTAAATTTTTTTAGGATTTTTTAAAACTTTTTTAATAATAACTCGATAAGTACCGGGCTGATTTTCAAAGTTCTTGTACATATACTAATTTCCCCTTTATAATTATAAAGGGGAAAGATTTGTATATACAAATCTCTCTTTAATATTAGTATAGATGGGATCAGGTATATTATATAGGTTCCACGGTATCTACTGGCCTGCGTTCCTGATGGCGGCAGGCCAGTTCCCGGCGCGGCGGCTGCTGGCGCACGCGCACTGGACTGTGGACGGCACGAAGATGTCCAAGTCTGTAGGCAACGTGGTGGCCCCCGCGCTGGCGGGCGCTCCGCCCCCCGCACTGCGCTACGTGCTGCTCAGAGAGGCCACCATGGTCTCTGATGCTAGTAAGTGATTTACTCAGTGTTCTTACCTTGTTTTTTCAGATTTTTTTTTGTGTTGCAAAAAAAATTTTTTTTTGATTTTTTCAGATTTTTTGATTGAGAAAAGTTTGATAAGCACTATTTTTTAAGATGCTATTTTTAATTTTGCCATTTTTACTTAATATATTTTTTTCTAATTTTATTTTGTGTTGAATTTTAAAAAAATGCTCAAATCACTCTCGCATATTATTCCTCTTTAGTTAGGATCTTTTTTTATAAAAACATACTTCAATTTTATTACTTTTAAAGGTATTGGGGGTTCATTTTCCTATGAATATATCTTTATTTTTTAATTTGTTTAGTGTTCTATTATATTCAAACTCCGCTATATTATAATACTTCATACTAATATTATAAATGCAAAATGAAAAGATGGATGTTTGTTAGAGTTTGTAGCCTAAACTGCTGAACCGATCCCGATAAAATTTGGTATATGTGTAGAAAATAGTATAGAAGAACACATAGGCTACTTACAATTTTTTTATTAATTCGCGAACGAATTCGCAGACGAAAGGTAGTAATTAATTGTAATGCAGATTTCAGTGAGACGAAGTTAATAAACATAGCTAACTCAGAGTTAGCGGACACGTTGGGGAACTTGGCCGCCAGGTGCTCCGCGCCCGCGCTGCACGCACAGGGGACAGGACACGTCTCTGCCCCGGGCCTCGCGCGCTGCAGGGCAGAGGACATGGCAGGGAAACTTATGGACGCCGTCGAGAGACTGCCAGGTAAGATACTTCAGTTGGTTTCTTACAGCGGAAACATTCTCGAAAGCACAAAATGTTCAAGCTATTTCAATGAAATACCAAATTTTACTAATATAATTGTGAAAGTTTAGATGGATGGATGTTAGATGGATGTTTGTAGCCTAAAATGACTGGATCCAGATTATTGTCATAGATTTAAAGGATAATTTAGAACACAAAGGACATTTGTTTTTTTTAATTCCTCTCGAACGGAGTCGCAGATGAAAGCTAGCATTTTTATATAATACTAGCTGTTGCCTACGACTTCGTCCGCGTGGTATTAGAAAACATACGAACTATATAAATAACAAAAACTCTGGAATTAAGCTTATCCCACGTGTACTCCAGACTTTGTTTTATATCTGTGCCGAATTTCAATACGATATGTTGAACCGTTGCAGAATGATCGAGTGAACATTAAAAACTAAATTAATGAATCCCACGGGAACCGTAACTATTCCAGGGATAAAAAGTAGCCTATGTGTTCTTCCAGACTATACTCTATACCTGTGTCTAGGTTCATGGAGATCCGTTCAGTCGTTTAGGCTACAAACGCTAACAAACATCCATCCATCCATCCATCTAAACTTTCGCATTTATAATATTACTAAGATTATTATATGATAACTTTCCTACAAAAAGGGTTAATAATGTCAATTTTGATTGGAAATTTGATTTTTTTACAGATTTATGTCACGTTCACTACAGTAATTATCGATTCTACAAAGCGGCGGACGCTGTCATACATGTCCTGCACCTCGCTAATTTGTTCTTTGAAACGCAAAAACCTTGGGAATTAAAGAAGAAAAATGCCCAAGAAGAATTAGACACAGTTCTATACATAACTACGGAAACGTTAAGAATATGTGGTATTATTTTGCAACCTTTGATACCAGATCTGGCAACACAGTTGTTAGATAAACTACAAGTTCCCAAAGATAGTAGAAACTGGCAACATTGTGAAACACCCTCGTGGAAAATTGGGGAAGTTTTAACTAAAATACAGCCTGGAAAGTTTGTTTTATTTCAAAGGATTTATACTGATAAGAAAAAGAAAGTGCAAGTGTAAAAGTGTTTAATAATTGTGTTGTGGACGCTTGTATAGGGGCCGTCCATAAATTACGTCATCGATTTTTCCAACTTTAGACCTTCCCCCCCTACAATCATTCTATCGTCATTTCC